TGGGGACAGGGTTAGGAGCCTCAGCCGATGGGAGAGCTGGGATGCAGACATAACAGGGAAGTGCAATAGAGAATCGCCAGCTGGCATCATGCTCACACCAGAGTTGTGACCGCTGATTTCAAATGACACCAGTGGGCACTGTGTGCATTTCTCCATCGGTATGCAGACATGGAGAAGGTGACTGCTTGGGTTGAACAAGGGCAGAGGCTTTTCTGGAACAGTGGGAAGGAGGGAAAGACAGAGAGCTATAGGTGTTCACAGAATTATTATGCATCTAGACTGAGGAGTCTAAGGTGGTAGGAGGGGAGGGGAGGACTTGGTGGGGGGAGGTGGTGGTATCGACAGTTCGAAGCAATGAGGCCAGGCACTGGAGGTCTTGATGAAGCTTGGTAATACCTGGAGCCAGAGGGCAGGAGTTGGGTGAGCAGGACGGTGGTAGAAGTGACGCAGACACCTGCAGTGGGGCTTTCTGAGTTTCAGCCGGTGTCGTGGTCTAGGAAGGGAGTGCGGCTGGGGGTGGAAGCAGGTTGCTGGGCTGGCAGTGAACCTGAGGGAAGCCATTTCAGATTCTCTTGCCACTCCCAGCTATGTACATCACCTCAGCCTCTACTTGCTAGGCTTTCTTTCATTTCCTACAGTGGAACAGTTTTAAGCTGAATTTGCTGGAAGTCTAGAACCTGAGACAGCACAGCTGGCAGTAAAACCTTAGTAATGGAATTTCCAGAACCAGTTTGGGCCCAAGAATGTGCTCTCCTTGGGAGGTGATGGGATGGTTGGGTTGGAGGCCTGCTCTGCTACTTTCTCCTCTGGGGAGGCCCCACATAGGCTCACCTTGGAAGAAGAAGAAAGAGGGGACCTGGCTTCATTAGAACTGTCATCTTGGAATAGGTCCTCCTGGGCATTCTGCAAAGGTTAGTGAATCTGGGGACACCTTGAGGCTGTCCTCTCAGAGCTCCGCGGTTTACCTGTGCCTGGACCCCAGGCTGGGTCCTTGCTCGTTGTCCCTGCACTTGACCTGGCACAGACAGAGTGTTTTCCTGTCTCAGCCCAGAATTTGGCACTTCCAAGCACACATATTTCAGTCTTTGGGTGGGGGGGAGGTGGTCTCTTCCTGTGGCCTCCCAGGAGATGTGTTGGCTTAGTCTACCCTTGCCTCAGAGTTTATGTGCAAGTACATGCAATTTCAGAATAAACATGTTTATATATACACATGGACTAATGCTGAAATAATGTGGCTTCAGTTGCCTGCTAAGATGTTTGGGACCTCATCCTGATGGTAGACAGCTACTGATGACCAGCTGAACCTCCTCAGTTACGACCTACAGCAGGATACAAGGATAAGCCAATGCCTGCCTCCCCCATCACCACATGATCCTATCTCTTTCAGGCACCCCGGACTTACCCTCTGGACCTGGGGGCTTCCCCTGAAGGGAAGCAGGGCTGAAAAATCTGGGATAGCATGGCCTAGAGGCCTCAGGATGAAGGTATAGCGGAAGGCATTACCCCTGCAGCTGATGTGATGTCACCACCCATATTGGAAATGTCAACCAGGCCCCCCTCAACCAATCATGTCTCACGAAAGGTCTCTCAGGAGCAGCTGTAGTAAAGGGGTCCAGAGCTTGGCTGATGGTGGCCAGGCCTGCACGTTAGAGAGTTTCTATATGGAGAAGTGGCCTGAGGGCCCACATAGTATGTGGCTCAACTGGATATAACCAGCTATTTGTTGTTATTTGTGTTGCATTAAGAACTTTTCTAATATATATTTCTACTTACTTACTGTTTCCAAGAGAAGAAGGTGGAGGTATGGGTGAAAACAGATAGGGCTGCCATTTATTTTCCAGCAACTTATTTTCCTCCTTTTCTTGATGTCTTGTACAGAAATGTGATTTGATTCTTTAAAATTAGCCACCACTTTTCAGAAATATAAACATCTCATAAATTGGGAGACAGGAGTCATTTGGCAAGGAGGCAGAGAACCAGAAAGTTCCCGTTGCCAGTCTGTCTGCCCCAAGTGGTGCCTGGTTTCCTGGCCAGGGCAGGGCTGGAGATAGTCCGCCAAACCTCTCGTGGTGCAGATGGGGAAACTGAGGGCTGTGTGGCAGGGACCTGCCCAGCCTACTTCCTAATCTGGTGGCCCAGCCCGCCTGCTCTTCCTCTCTCCAGGAGGAGGGTCTCAGAGGCTGAGGGGGCACCCCAGCCTGTGCAAGAATGGCCTGTCAGAGCCAGATGCAATGTGCAAAATGGACCAAGAACACTGCTGGGAGGTTCTATCCATGACTCCTGGGGTTTGGTCCAGTTTGGTCCCCTTGGGGTTTGTGAGATCCATAGTCACAAAGAGCTTTGAAACTTACTTCCCAGATCGTATATTCCAGGGTTCAGGTGTTTGCCCTTACCAGGTAACCGGGATGGGGAGATAGGGATTCACTAACTTCTCTGGGGAGAGGCCTGTGCTGTCACTTATTTGCTGGGTGACTGGGCATGTTTCTTAACCTTTCTGAGCCTGTTTCCTTATCTGTGAAATGTGTCTAATATTAGTATCTACCTTATAAGGCTGTTGTAAAGATGAAAAAAGATATGTAAATATAAGTGGCGGATAGTGTGGTTAATATCACTGATAATAAAACCGTTTACAAAGGGTGGGATGTAGGGGAGTGTGTTTCAGCTCAGCAAAACGTGACCTGGGTCCCTGCACACAGTAGGTTAGATCTTGAAGGAGGGAGCTGTCTGTTGCTAGAGGCATCCAAGTCAAAGTTCAGAGCCTCCCTGATGAGGGAGGTGGTTGAGGGATTGAAGCTTCAGACTGGGGCAGGCATGGTGATCTTGAAAAGTCTTGTGTGGTCCACAGTTGTGGACAGGAGGGGTGAACTGGACGGCTGTGCCTTGCAGCCCAGCCCGATGCCGTGCGGATCATTCCAGAGACTGCATCCCTCGTGTGAGGCCCTGAGATCTGGTGGCCACATGGGGCAAGGAGTGCCAGATTTTGAGGAGCTGCAGTAGCTTTGGTGGGAGGAGGATTGGTGGTGGCTGACTCATGTGCTTGGTAGATTTCAGAGGATGTTCCCCAAGAAGTCGTCTTAGAACAGGTGGAGGTGGGAAAATTTGGTGGAGTTTGGTTGCCTAAAGTCATGGCTGCTTTTTAAAAGATTATTTATTTGAGAGAGAGGGAGCATGAGAGAGCGAGCGAGCATGCAAGCAGAGGGGAGGGGTAGAGGGAGAAGCAGACTCCCCATTGAGTAGGGAGCCTGATGTGGGACTTGATCCCAGGACACTGGGATCATGACCCGCCAAAGGCAGATGCTTAACCGACTGAGCCACCCAGGTGCCAAGTCATGGCTGCTTTAAAAAGAGGCAGCTCCAGGATCCCTGGGTGGCGCAGCGGTTTAGCACCTGCCTTTGGCCCAGGGCGCGATCCTGGAGACCCGGGATCGAATTCCACGTCGGGCTCCTGGTGCATGGAGCCTGCTTCTCCCTCTGCCTATGTCTCTGCCTCTCTCTCTCTCTCTCTGTGACTATCATAAATAAAAAATAAATAAAATAAAAAAAAAGAGGCAGCTCCTATTCAAGTGAAGAAGGTCTGATAGATTGATTAAAAATGGTTCTTTCAATCACTGCCTGATGTTTACAGCAGCATCTCCAGTGTCTGGAGCACGGCTGGTATGTAGTAGGCGCTCAGTAGATATTTGTCGAATGAGTGAAGGAATTCAATAAACATATATTCCTTGGGGCGCCTGGGCGGCTCAGTTGGTTAGGTGTCCACCTTTGGCTCAGGTCATGATCTCAGGGTCCTGGGATCGAGCCCCTTGTCAGGCTCCCTGCTCAGTGGGGAGCCTGCTTCTCCCTCTCCTCCTCTCCTCCCCTAATTTGTGCCCACTATCTCTCTCAAATAAATAAAATCTTTAAAAAAAACTTATAAAACAAAACAACTCCCCCCTCCCCATATTCCTTAAGGATTGCCTACTATTTTCCAGGCACTGTGGTGGGTGGGCTGGTCTGACTGCTTTCTAGAGTTGGCGCTGGGGGGAGGGTGTGAGCTTGTGCCCTGAACATGTCTTCACACACATCTAGTTGCATGTCTGTGATTACTGCTTTCACCGGGGGCTCATAACACATTTGCTGGCCTTGGCCAAGATTATATTTTTAATGTTTTTATTTCCAAGGCCAACACCTGATTATTTTTACAGGCATATTTTGATGCAGGCGAAAAATTAGATTAAAAACAGAGCATGCATTCCTGTGCCCTTATCCAGGCTCTTTCATTGTCGGCGAGCGTTAAGTGCTGTCCTGGGTCTACACACACACGTGCTTTAAATCTGAAATAATAGCCCTTTGTATTGGAACCGGGGACCAGCACCCATGTAAAGGATAATTAACCTTTACCAGTAGGAACTTTCCACCACTGGTCTTCCTATAGGTAGAGGCAAATCTACAGGATGGGGCTTTGGGGCTGGAATTCTGTGCCCTGGTTGGTGTGTGTGTGTGCGGGTGTGTATTTACTGCAGCAGGGCCTTTCCTGCCTCCCCCTCCCCTGTTTAAGGGCTGAAACCCTTTGTTTATTTTTTTTATATTTTTTAAAGATTTATTTATTTATTTATTTATTTATTTATTTATTTATTATTTATTTATGATAGACATAGAAAGAGGCAGAGACACAGGAGGAGGGAGAAACAGGCTCCATGCCGGGAACCCGACGCGGGACTCGATCCCGGACTCCAGGATCGCGCCCTGGGCCAAAGGCAGGCGCTAAACCGCTGAGCCACCCAGGGATCCCCTGGAACCCTTTGTTTAAATGAAATGTTGACACAAAGTGGATCTGCGTTGCTGGAAATGGGCCTGGGCCCTCTTGCTTGGCGTCCCCCCTCCACCTCCCCACCCCAGAGGAAGAGTCTGCACGTGTGTGGTCACATTTGCATTCACAAATGCTCGCCTGTTCTGTGCTGCGTATTCACACTTCTTCTCTCTCCCCCTCTGTGCTCCTCCCGCTTGCGGCGGGCCTGGTTCAGGCGGGCCTCATCCGCACGGACAGCAGCGACTACTTCATAGAACCCCTGGAGTGGGGGCAGCAGGAGAAGGAGGCCGGCGGGAGGACGCACGTGGTGTACCGCCGGGAGGTGGTCCGGCAGGAGTGGACTGAGCCCGGCGGGGACCTTCACAACGAAGGTAGGCACTGGGCAGGTCCCTGAGCTTCACCTCTGCTGGTTACCTTCACCTCTTGAGTCCTGGCCTCGGCCTTCTCATCTGTAAAGTGGGACTGGACCGTGTATACCAGCGGAGAAACCCCAGTGGGTTTTAGGGGCAACTACAGCTGGCTGGAGTTGGGGGCCAAGTTACTCGAGCCCCCTGAACTGTGACCCTAGGGACTCCAGAGGTCACTGAGGGGCTCTACGGTTGCTTGTGAAGGCTAGTTCCCCGCCTGGCAGGCGGTGCAATGTCTGCAGTTAGCTCTTCCCCTGAAGATCAACTCAGCCCCTGGGAGCCTCAGGAAGGAAGGTCTCAGGACATTTGTAGGGGGACTGCCAGGTACGAGGGCATCGGGGTCAGCTTTGTGTCCAACAGACCATTTTTAAATCCTATGTCCAACATGGTTGGCTGTGAGACCCTAACCGAGTTACTTAGCATCTATATGTTGGCAAATCGAACTCCAATAAAAAAAATGCAAAAAAAAAAACAAAAACAGATCCACGAGGAGAGGATTTTTTCTTTTTTTATTCTCTACTGTATTCCCTAGCATCTAAAACAGAGCCCTTAAGTATTTGTTAAATGGATAAATGAAATATCTCATTGTATTATGTGGCCTATGAGCTCAATCAAAAGCTTAGTACTAAGTCCGTGCTTGTATGTCAGGCATAGGAAGGACATTCTCTAAATAAATAGAAAAATGACAGAGTAAAAAAGAAAAAAAAAGTCTCTGAACCTCATTTTCTAATCTGTAAAGTGGGGGCAATTGCTAATCTCTAAGCTTGTGCATATTAGCGATAGTGTATATAAAAATCCTGGCGTGGAGCTTGACATCTAGTAGGTGCTTGATAACTGATTGCTTTTATGACAGTATTGTTTTTTTTTAAAGATTTTGTTTATTTATTCATGGGAGACACAGAGAGAGGCAGAGACACAGGCAGTGGGAGAAGCAGGCTCCCCATGGGGAGCCCGATGCGGGACTCGATCCTGAATCCCAGAATCATGACCCGAGCCGAAGGGAGACGCTCAACCACTGAGGCTCCCAGGTGCCCCTTGACAGTATTGTTATTCGAGTAACTACTGGCAGGTTAGGGCGAGAGCCCCTGAGAGCAGGGGCGGCCTTGCACCCCGGCGACCGGCACAGGAGCCCGCGCAGCAGCAGCGCCCAGGCCCTGGGCTTGTGTGAAGGAAGCGGTGGATGCAGCATGTGCTGGCCCTGGGCCCACGGCCAGCTGCATTGTCCAACTCAGCTTTGTCACGAAGCCCCTTTGGCCAAGAGGATATGAGAAGGGCTTGGGTGGAATCTGGCCGTGCCAGGGCCCCGGTGGGGTTGGGCCCAGCGTGAAGGAATGCGTGGAGACCAGCTGTCCCCACAAACAGTGCCTCCTCTGAAGCTCCAGCTGCTCTTCCAGGGTCGCCCAGAGGAGAAGCTGCAGCACCAGAGTCTGACCTGGGTGGTGGGGGGCTCTGCAGGCCTGGGGTGGGGGGCAGGCACTCGGTGGAGCCTCGGGGGGCTGGGGTGGATTACGGGGCCAGGATGGGACAGCACTATGCTCTCCGCTGTGGCTGGGAAGAAGGACAAGTCTCTCTGGGCTCCATTGTATCTGAGGCCAGTTCTGAATCAAAAGACAATAAATCTCCCCTTTTGGGGAGACCCTGGAGGGTGGGAGTTCTGTTGCATGGCCGTGGGCCTGGAGCCAACCACAGCGTCTGCCACCACGGTCGGTGGCCGGGAAGCCCAGACCGCTGGGCTCACAGGGTTGGCCCCGAGGCCCAGGAAGGCTGGTGGGGCTCCCGGTCCTCAGGCTTCCTTCTGGAAGTCCTGGGCCTGTGGGAGATGCCATGCCGGGGCCCACCTGGTCCCTCCCTAGAAAGGCAAGCTGCCGTGGGGGGCTTCCTTACAAACCCGTGACACTCACTGCTATTTTAGGCCCACCTGTGGGTCTGAGCCCGGTGAGTGTATTGGCGTTTCTGGGTGTCCCGTCTCCATTTAGCCTTCTTGATTGGGCCGAAAGGTGTCCCGTCCCGTCTGGGGGTACACCCAAGAGGGGGTGTACCTCTTGGTACACACAGAAATGCTAGAGGCCTAGGCCCGCTGGTAAACGGGCTTTTGAGAGATCTGCCTCATCCCGGGCACTGTGCTCCGTCTCCGCTGCCCCGAGGGTCCGCCCAGCCCAGGGTCCCCTCTCCTGGCTCCCGGAGCCCCCCGGACGTCTCCTGGCACCGTCTTCTTGTCCCAGGTAGGCTGCGGGCTTCCCAGAGGACAGATGCCACGTCCTCGTGGTTGTCGCTCCTTCCCGTGAGCTCTGCCACCCCCAGGTTATGGGTTTCCTCAAGGAGGGAGGGGGCATCCGGTGACCCATCACGTTGACTTTCTAGCTGCGCTGTGGTCTCTGGAGGGCTGCAGCCGCCTGGGCTCCCTCTAGAAGTATCCGTGACGCACAAGTGACCTTCCGGTGGGGGGACTCCTCTGGGCCCTCAGGGTATGGGCTCGACGGCAGCTTCCTGAAGGGAGCTAGTGTGTACTCACACACTCACCCACTCACACATGCACACTCACACACATGCACACTCACACACACGTGCACACCCACACACCTCACGCACTCACCACTCACACATAGCACCCACTCACACAGCCACACATGCTCACACATGCACACTCTCACACCTCACACACCCACTCACAAGTAACGCACACAGCCACACATGCACACTCATACACTTCACACATGTACCCACTCACACATGCTCACACATGCACACTCACGCACACTCACACATAACACACAGTCACACACCTCACACACGACACACATACACACTCACACACCTCACACACCCACTCACAAGTAACGCACACAGCCACACATGCACACTCATACACTTCACACATGTACCCACTCACACATGCTTACACATGCACACTCACGCATAACAGTCACACACCTCACACACGACACACATACACACTCACACACCTCACACACACACCCAATCATGCACATTCACACAACAGTCACACCTCACAATCACACATGACAACAGTCACACACAGGCACACTCACACACCTGACACACGCACCCACTCACACACTCACAGTGCTCACACACACATTTATGCATACTCACGCATAACAGTCACATACCTCACACACATGACATACACACACACACACGCACCCACTCACCCACTCACGATACACAGTCACATGTATGCACACTCACACACCTCACACACACACCGACTCACACATAGCACACACGCACACTCACACAACACACACACTCACATACACACATACAGTCACACACATGCACACTCACACACCTCACACACCCACTCAAAAGTAACACATACAGCCACACATGCACACTCATACACTTCACACGCACCCACTCACACACGCACACTCACACATAACACAGTCACACACCTCACACATGACACACATACACACTCACATACCTCACACACCCACTCACAAGTAACACACAGCCACACATGCACACACACACTCACACATGCATACTCATGCACACTCACACATAGCACAGTCACACATTTCACACACATGACACATGCAGTCACACACCTCACACATGCACCCACTTACACAAGCACATTCACACATAACACAGTCACACACCTCACACACGGCAACAGTCACACATGCACACTCACACACCTCACACACGTACCCACTCACACACTCACACATGCTCACACACACTTATGCACACTCACGCCATAACACAGTCACATACCTCACACTCACACGACATATACACACACATGCACTCACGCACCCACTCACGACACACACAGTCACATGTATGCACACTCACACACCTCACACATGCACCGACTCACACACAGCACACATGCACACTCACACTCACACGACACACACAGTCACACACATGCACACTCACACACACGCATACTCACACACAGCACACCGAACTTCAAAGCCTGCAGGTAGATTCCCTGGCTGGACGTCCAGGCACGGCCGGCCCCCTTCCAGCCTGCAGGGACTCCCCCATGGACCCTGCCTCGGCCCCCGGGGCTGAGCCCGGGATGCTGCCATGCTCCTAAAGCCGCCCCTTCCCTCTTCAGCCCTGGGCCCCGCTCTCTATGAGCCAGTCCCACCCCACAGGTTCCCCTGGGGAGGGAGCGGGTCCCTTGGAGCCGCACGCACCTGTGGCCGGTTCCAGCTCTGTGGCTGGGGGCCAAGGCCGCCAGATGTGAGGACAGCTCATCCCTTCAGGGGCAGCCTTCAGGCTGGGCTACGGGCTGCTGCGCTTTATTTTAACTCGAGATAAAATCCACCAACTTAATCATTTTAAGGTATACAATACAGTGGTTTTTTACTATGTTTAGAGTGTTGTGCAACCATCACCGCTGATTCCAGAACATTTCTGTCACTCCCATAAAAAGCCCAGAACCCATTAATTAGTTACCACTCCAGTTTCCCCCCTCTCCACCCCCGGCAGCCACTCATCTCCCTTCTCCCCATGGATGTGCCCATCCTGGACACCTCATATAAAGGGAATCACGTACCATGTGGCCTTTTGTGACTGGCGCTGTCACTTAGCCTGTAAGGTTCATGCACGTGTAGCGTGCATTGCACAAATAGACCACATTTTTGTATGTATCTCTTTATCTGTTAATGGACACTTGGGTTGTTTCCATTTTTTTTTGTTATGGTGATAATGCTGCTATGAGCATTCACATACAAGTTTCTGTGTGGATGTATGTTTCCAATTCTTTTGGGTATAGATCTCGGAGTGGAATTGCTGGTTCCTATGGTAACACTATATTTAACTTTTTGGGGAGCTGCCAAACTGTTTTTCGAAACAGCTGCACCATTTTAGATTCTCATGGGGCTTCTTGGGTGGGCTTCTGGAAAGCCTCCCAGGGGCCTGTGGCTCCCCCCGCAGCTCCCCTCTTGGAAGGTTACCTATTTCTGGCCTTAAAGGATGAGAGATGGAAGAGGGTGTGGGGGGCACCTCTCCAGGGCTTGTGGCTGATGTCAGCAGGCCCTCCCCACTGCTCCTCACTATTTTTGCAGAGAGGGAAATCTGGGTGGGCCCTGACAGGGTGTGATAGTGGGAGAGTGTGAGCCCTGGTTTTGCATTCTGGGTCGTTGCCAGTACTTGCTGTGTGACCTGGGATGAGTCAGGCAACCTCTCTGAGCCCCCCTTTGACAGACCTGGCTGGGAGAGCCGTAAGGGGTCAAGCTCCACGTTTTACATATGATTTGAAAACCTATAGGCACTGTTCATGTGTTGGGAGTGACTGTTATTTATTTTCCCTGCTCCATGGAGAGAATGCTTGTCCTTTCTTCGGCCTTCCTGGGGCTTTTCCCTCCTTTCTCCCAGGTGTTTGTCCCTGGGCTGCTGTACTCACCACTGGGCTCAGGTGCCAGGCCACCATGAGCTCCTGTGCCAGGTTGAGTGAGGGTGATAGCAGTGTGAGCCCTGCTTGCCAGGCTGTGCATCATTCAGGGGACTGGCCACACTTTTCTGGTTTCCCCCGTGGGCACACATTTTACCAACCCTTTAGTCTAGGGCTTTCCTTCCTTTGCACATGGAGGCCACTAACCAAATGGAAGATAAAAAGAAAGGGTAGCAGAGTCCCATGGTCCCCTGTTGCCCTGCCCTTAAATTTCAGTTCCTGAAGCATCCATATCGATAGAAACTAAGAGGCAAAACTTGGGTCTCTGCCGAGGGACCTGTGGAATCCTCTACGAGGGTCCCCTGCATTGTGGATGGTGTCACCTCATACTTGCTCACAATGGATTTTGCAGGTACCGTTCCCTCTGCTAGGGACTCTGTTCTCCATGCTCCAAGCAGCTTGCTCCAGAAGTTCCTGTCAACTCCCCTGTCCTGGTTTGGGTCTCTAGTGTGGAAGCTTTCCCTGGTCAGTCCTCCTGTAGGCCTTGAAGTTACTGCACTGTTACCTTCTGGTTCCTTCTCTGTCACCCGAGGCAGGCAGTGGGCTCGAGGGCAGGGGCCCTACCTTCATCACTCACCTACCATCTACCCACCTTATACGTTTGGGCCTGTCCTGCAGCCACAACCCTTGATACGTGCTGGGGATGCACTGGTAGCATTTTTTTCTATCCTTACCCCCTGTCCCACTCTCTGAGAGATTCTCACATAACTGGATATTCTTAGAAATTAATGGTGCAAGTTTCAGAACTTCAGAGTACACATGCATGGGTGGCTCAGTGGTTGAGTATCTGCCTTCGGCTCAGGGTGTGATTCCAGGGTCCTGGGATTGGGTCCCATATCAGGCTCTCTGCAGGGAGCCTGCTTCTCCCTCTGCCTGTGTCTCTCATGAATAAACACATAAAAATCTTAAAAAAAAAAAAAAAGGAACTTCAGGGTAGGATGGTGGGGAAGTCATGAAATGTTAAGGCTTTGAAACCTTCTCAAGAGACCCCAGGCTCCTATCCTGCTTTCTTGGTGTGGGGGAGGAAAAAATTTTTTTCCTTTACCCTCCTAGGTTCTTGGCTGAGGCACCCTGTAATAAAAGACAGATTAACAAGAATAAAACAAACAGAAGTTTAATTACATGGATACCTCCCATAGACGTGGGAGAGAGCCAGGGAAACCCAATAACTCCCCCAAATGGTCCAAGCCACTACCTTAATATCTCCAGCTAAGGACAAAAGAAGATGTTGGTGGGTGGGGAGGAGGAGTGAGTTATGGGAGGTTACCAGGAAAAGCACAGTCAACAAGGGGAAGGTTGTTATGTGGATTTAAGTCATTTCCTTCTTTATTGATAAGAGTTTCCTGAGATATGTAGAGTCATCCTCCTCTTCCTGGTACAGACAGGGAGACACCCTTACAAATGGAGATTTTCCTTCTACAGGAAAACGTCTCTTGCAAAAGCCTCACTTATCCGCAATTTCCAGAGCTTTTCTTGTGTCTGCCGTTTCTTAAAAATAATCAGTCTAAAATGGTCCTTACACCATGGAGGCAAATTTTGGGGTGGCCAGTTCTGCTCCCTGTCACTAGCTTTTCCCACAGCGTCCTCAGGAACCCTTGACTCCATTGTCCCAACAGATGTCACTCCAGTCTCTTTGGACTGGTAACTGCTTTGGGGGCTACCTTTCTGGGCAGCAGCACCGATGATGATGCGATGTTTCCAGGTCTGCTCTCTTGATTTCAGACAGACCTGGGCAGGCTACCCTGGGTCTCAGTTTGTTGACCAGCATATTGGGGACAGTAACCTGAGAGTTGTAAGGATGGGATTGGATTCGATTAGATTGAAGGTCGGCAAACTAAAGCCCACCACGTGTGTTTGCAAATTAAGTTTTATGGGGACAGACACACTTGTTGGCTTATATATTGCCTGTGGCTACTCGTATGCCAAATTGAATAGCTGAGATGGAGACTGTAGGACCTACAAAGCCTAAAAAAGTCACTCTCTGGTCCTTTCAGAAAAGGTTTGACAACTCCCTGATTATATCACACAAGTTCATAAATCCTTGTTAAAGAAATATTTAGCTTTTTTGCCAAAAAGGAAAAGTGGTGGTGGTGAACTTTTGGGTTGCTGGAAGTGATGGGGAGGGATTGGTGGGGAGCTTAGTCCAGGGCTTCTTAAAATGCCCTGCATAGGCCGCAGTGACACCATGATTTTTCCCCTTAATTGAGGTGTGTCCATCCACTGCCACCTGTGACTTTTATAGCAAGCATGTGGTAAGAGATCAAGGATACGTCATCCCTGTGTCACAGGAGGGGAGGGGGACTTGGAGGGGTGAATGGGCCAGGGGAGGGCACATGGGCAGATAGCACTGGGTGGGGACTAGGACCTAGGCTTGCGACTCCCAGCCAGATCCCCCTTCTCTGCTGTTTATTGCCTCAAAGACTGAGCCGTGGCCTGGCACCAGCCCTTTGCACCAGCCTATGAGTTAAGCCGTGTGGAAGGAACCGCCTCATGCTGGGTTGGCTTCACAGAGGCAGGGAAAGGACCCACACGATGGGGCTGAGTGGGCTGGTGGGTGGCATCCGAGGGGCAGCCTCTCCTGTGGGTCTGACCCCTGTCTCTCTTCTCCTCCTGGTTGGCAGCTTTTGGCCTGGGTGACCTCCCCAACCTGCTGGGCCTGGTGGGGGACCAGCTGGGCGACGGAGAGCGGAAGCGGCGGCATGCTAAGGCAGGCAGCTACAGCATTGAGGTGCTGCTGGTGGTGGATGACTCGGTGGTGCGCTTCCATGGCAAGGAGCACGTGCAGAACTACATCCTCACCCTCATGAACATCGTGAGTGTCCCTGTGTCGTGGGGCGGGGGGTGGGGTGCCACCTGTTGTGGCCAGAATAGACTATTTCTCTCCAGCCTGATGTTTTCTGGCGGATGTGCTGGCCTGATGTCCACCCCAGGCTGAGGCCTGGTCTCAGCTGTACGTACCTGTGCTGAGGTGCCCATAGGCCCTGGGCGCCAGCCCCCCCAGCAGGTAGGAGCCTGGGGAGAGTGGCTTCAGGGCTGGGACACATTCAGAGCCTGAGGCAAGTGTGGTCTGAGGGGTAGGATGGGCTCACATGCCTTGGAGTTACCTCGACTTCCCTGAGATTCCTCATCTGGAGATAATGCCCCATCCCAGGCTGGAAGACTGGCCAACAAACGCTAGCTGGGGCTGGGGTTGGTGTGTGAGGTGGGACTCCCAGGCCCTGAAGGTGGGCCTTTGGTGTTCACCGAGAACAGAAAGGTGGTTGTGCCAAGATTTAGGTCTTGGCCTTCACTGATGAGAGTTTCCAGAGCTTGAATCATCCCCCTCTTCTGGTCCAGCTCAGGAGACGCCCTTACAAATGGTTAGTCCTCTTATACCTGGAAATGTCTCCCACAAAACGGTAAAACTTCCACTGGGGTTTTCAGAGCTTCTCATACATCTGCAGAGGCATCTCTTGGGGTGACAAACCTGCCCCTCTTGGTTCTTACGGCTGTGTGGTCGGCGTGTGTATAAAAGTGGTTCTTTGTCTAAGCCCCTTGAAGAAAGGTCCTGACATGGGGGCTTTATGTTATACTTTTTTGAGCCTGACTGCACCCAGCACAGTGCCTGGCTTCTGGTAGGTGATGGGTAAATATGGAAGCGAATGGTATCTAGGGGGCAGGCAGAGAGCCAGCATCTGCTTAGAGGGACCAGGAAGGCAGCAGATTTGTGTCCGCAATGAAGGTGTAAAGAAAAGGGGGAGGCTAGAAATCAGATCCAGTCACAAGGAGCCTCAGGGAGAGGGAGGGCTGCCCCAGTGTCTGCTCCCCTCACCCCCTCTTTGTTTGGATATTAATTCTTCTGTCCCTTTAGGAACCTATGGTTTGGGATGCAAGGAGCAAAGGCTACCACAGGGGGTTGTTTGTGACAGAAAGAGGATAACTATGAATATGGACAGACCCACCTCCCTGGAGCACCTGACCACCCACCCAGACTCTAGATTGCTAGTCGAATTTTCAGGCCAGACAGCCAAGTACTAATCCCATTAGTAGGAGAGCAGGGTTAGCCCCTGGAGCCAGCAGGTGGAGAACAGGAGTGGTGGGGAGGGAGAAGGAGTCAGAGAGGCCTTAGGGAGCCCTTGGGTGCTGGGAGCCTGGGTCTGGGTCCAGAGCAGGGGCTGAAGACCCCAGGGGTGTGAGCCGGTGAGCCAGGCCCTATTCAGTCCCAGAGACCTTCAGTTTGCCAAAAGGTACTTTTCAGGAAAAGGTAAACACATGACTCTCAGAAATAATGGACAAGTGTCAAAGTCTCTTTTTTTTTTTAAGTGTTAAAGATTTTACTTCACTCCCAAATCAGTGAGAGAACCAGGCAAATGTGATAACCCTTTCAAAAGAGAACCCCAAGAATGGAAACATTTATAATCAGGACTTCTTGAAATGAATGTGCAAACAGAGAACAGAATGGCCTTTCTGACAGGGTGGAGGAGAAGCCCGACTCCGTGCATCTATAGGCAGGGATTGTACGTTGCTATCAGGGGTCGAGCTCTCAGTTTTAAGGTAGCTTCCGTGGAAGCAGATTCAGATAAGGCTGAAAGGTGTGCTGTGGACAATGCAGTTTCCATCAAAGTACACGTTATAATTATTCTCTTGAGTTGGAGGCCTGGCCGGGGTCCCGGGTAGAGCGCCCTTCCCGTGGATGGCAGGGAGTCTGGTGTCCCATCTGACATATGGGCTGTGTCCCTGTTCCTGGAGCTGGTGGGGAGCAGCCTCACTCAGGACACACCCCTGGGTGCTGGCTGTGTGACCGTCCTAAGCAGCTAAGTGGTGGAGGTCTGCTGGTGAATCATAAGGAGATACTGTTTTCGGTAGAGCAAAGTATGCTTTTGGAACTGTTTTCCAAAGGCCTGCCCAGACTGAGATGTGACTTGCTGAGAAGGATCTCGTTGAATCCCTCAGATCTGGAGCCGTGTGGAGGGTGGTGGCGAGTGAGTGGGAAGTGCCACCAAGTTCTTGAGGTTCGTGGTGTGGAGTAGAGTCGCCTGCCTAGTAGTCCTCCTTCCCTGGCGTCCCTCCCCATGTCCCCTGGACTTTATTGAGGACGTTTATTGGAGAAAGGCAGGCCTGTGTCCCATTCAGGCTCTCTTGACCTCTGACCCATGACTCACAGCCTTGGCCAGGGAGCTTCCCTGCTTGGCCCTCACTGAAGACTGGGGCCCCGAGGGCCTGCCTTGGAGACTGCTGTTTCCGTAAGCTTGGTGCCACTTTCTTTCTCCTTACCACCTAGCAGAAAGCAGGGGAGGAGAGTAAATGTCTTCCAGAGGTCCCTGGAGGCTGCTTGAGGCTGGTTCTTCTGCTCATTGCTGGCTTGCCTTGTGGATGTGAGAATAGAAGGGGAAGTTGAGGCAGGCCCATTCCCCTAGGAGCTGTTGTGTGTCAACCCCTGCTGCCACAGGGGGTACGTGAGCAGTGGGGTCCTGACTCCCCAGGTGCAGAGGGCAGCCAACCAGAGTTCTGGCCCATGGAGGTGAGTGGATGGGTGGCTGGCCACCTCTCCTCCCAGGGGACCAGCAGCTCAGCCCATTCATTGTGTGGGAACTTTATTTGGCTGGGATGCTTGAAACACTAATTTCCTGAGGGATTTCACGAAGCCAGTAAACAGGGTGTCCCTTTGCTGTCTCCTCGGAGTGCCTGCCTACCTGCCTGTGACCATTTCTGATCCTGATTTGCGGGGCCAGCGCTGGTCTGGTAGGATCATGGAGAGATCCGGTTCCCAGGATGTATGGTCCCATTGTGCTAACCCCAGAGGAGGGGCCAAAGCCCATAACAAAATACTCAGAACCATCTGATCAGGCCCTGCCTACGGCAGCTCTCAGGGCATTGTGCCTCTCACTTTTCCCTTGCATTACCCTGGGGATGTGCTATACAGATTCATGCAGCTGCAGCTGGTGGCAGGACTCCCTCCTCTCTCCTCCTCACTTGCTGGTGGGCCCTGCATGGGTTTTATTTGCCCATGCCTCAGTTTACCCACCTGTACCAGGTCACTCTCCTTAAAGCTTGTTCACACCTCAGGGCTGGGGAACCATTTGAGAGCTTTGAAACATAAAGGAGCAGTTGTGTTCAGCATTTAGTGAGTGCCTGGTATATGCCTTGTATGACAGACTTTTATTCTAGAAGCTTTGGTCTGGTTGTAAAAACAAGCCTCAGCCCACGGAATAATTTGGGGCAGTGCTGAAGATGCTTAGAGGAAGCAGCCATCCCTGTGGACTGGGGAGAGAGGCTCTCTGGGGCGGTTTGGAGCTGAGCCAGCCTTGGGGTGGGATGGCGGTAGGGTTTGGTGAGGTGGAGCGTGCAGGCCTGGCGAGGATGCCAGCGTGCATGGCAGGGTTACGGAGGCAGGAACGAGGGGGCAGCCAGGCCGGCAGAGACCTCTCAGGAGCTGAGATTTGGGGGGGGGGGACGACACCAGAGTCAGCTGAAGCTGTGATGGGCCAGCGGGAAGCCTTCAGAAACAGGGACGCTGAGCTTTCTCGAATATCACAGTATCGTTCCCATACCTACCACATGTCAGGCACGGGGCTGAGAACTTCGCAGACAGGCTCCGTGAATCCTCACTGTGGCCTTGTGCCAGTGACATTCCTTTGACCACTGTGGCTTTGAGAAGCAAAGTGACTTGGCTCAGAATAATCTGAGGCAGAGTTGGGATTCAAACCCAGATCTGTCTGATTCCAAAGTTTGTGCTCTCCCCCCACTGCTGCTTGGGTAGGACCTGGGGCAGGCAGCTCTGAGGAGGAGGGAGAAGGAAGATCACGGGCTCCTGGCCTGGGAGGTAGGGAGGCTGCTGCCGCTTTGTGGAAGGAGCCTCTCCCCAAAATGGGTCTCCGTATCGGAGTCAGGATTCTGAGGCTTCACCCCTGGGCTTGCTTCCTGCTCTTGGCTCCTGGCTGTGGCCAGGCTTGCTTACCAAGGCCTTGGAGAGAATCAGGCACTGTTAGGGGCCCTCTGCTTGCCTGGGGTGACACATCGCATTTCTGGGGGCGGGTGAGGACTCCCTTGGACAGGGGGATGCAGGGATCCTCTGAGGGCCCAGAGCTGGAGCAGAGGGAGGGTGAGGAAACAGAGAGGCCCCTTCATCGGTCTTCATGAGCCAGTCTACAGCCGGGCCCTTCTTGGCAGCCTACCCACTGGGGTGGTAGGCTCCTGCCCACCCTGCCCTCCACCCCACCCGGCCAGGCTGACACCACAGAGGCGTTGGCGTGGTTGCCAGAGAGACATTGCCTGGTGTCTCGGAGTGGGTCCTCCCACTCTGACCTGTGTGTCGGGGGCCCCTTCCTGAGGCTTCTCAGATGCCCTGCTGGAAAAGCTTGGCCCAGATGGCTGTCAGACCAGGGTTTTGGTGGCCTCAGCTTGGGAGGGTGGCATTCTCTTGGCACAGACCTGTGTTAAATATTCATCATAAAGGCCGGTTTGGAACACCACAAAAAAACTGCTTTCGTGCTGACAGAGGATTGCTTCGCCAGACCTTTTCCGTTCGGGGATATGTGAGCCTCTGGAGCAGCTCATCCTCCCTGCTCATTGGAAGGACACAAATCCTCCCCCTCCCTCTCTTGTTAATCCGTTCTCTTCTCCTGTCTCTCTTCTAAAAACCTTCTGCTGCTTTTTAGGGCACTCGAGGCCCCCAAAACTAAACGCAAAATCTTCTTACCTTGTGGTGGTGGTTCTTAACGGGGGCAGTTTTGCCTCCCAGGGGCCCCTGGGAAAGATTTGGAGATATTTTTGGTTATCCCAGCGGGAGGGGGTGGGATGTTTCTGACACCCCCAAGGAGCCTGGGGTTGCTG